ATTTAGAATTTTAGATAAAATTTAAACAAAAATCTTACTTGAACATTCTCAAAGATCAAAAAAAAATTTCCATTTTTTATTACAAATTTATATTTACAACATTTTGTCTATGTATAAGCCATATTTTTCAATTATATTTGAATCGGATGGCTTTCGATTTTTAATACAAAAAAATTAAAAATTTTACATTAATATTAAACTTTCCAAATTCAAATTCAAATATCAATATTATCTTAAAATTCAATTAAAAGTAATTATTTACAGTTATTAAAAAAAAGAAATCGAACACCATCTCTAAGGCTACAAAAAAGTCACGTGTAATGTGCGCTAGAGATCTGCTGATAACACACCGGACTCTTCTGGCCTGACCGAACCTTTTAAAACAAATAATTTTTGATCGGACCTGGGTTAGGTCTAACATCCGGGATGGGTTTAAAATTGTAGATATATCATTTCCACTTTGTCAATTAAATTGATATATTTTAAAATTCTTGCAAAAAACAGGGTGCAAATATTTTTTATAATTGTAAGAATATTTTATTTTTTTTACAATTAAAAAGAAATTCTTAAATAAATTCGAGCAGGGCAGGACAGACCAATATTTCATATTTTTATTTCCGGTCGGGCTTTTTCAGGAAAAATATAAAAAAAATTGTTCAGGTTCGGGCCGGGCCTCTTTATATTAGGCGATTACTAGAGTGCGCTACGTTAACAACAGCTGTTTAAGACCTGGCAACATCATTTGGAGAGGAGTTTATAAAAAATCAGGGTGGTAGCGAGAAATGAAATTAAAACTGAAGAAGATGTATTTTCATATTATAATATATATTTTTGAAAGAAGAGGGGAACAATTCGGTCAATTTAGCGGGCGTTGATTGAAGGGTGCGAAATTTAATTATCAGTTCAATCGGCAAGTCGTTGTTTTTTGCCTCTGGCTTTAATAATCATTTAGAAACTTCAGAAACTTTTGATAACCTTTTTTCTAAATGAAATACAGTGGAATGAATCTATATGCCCTTTTGCCTCAATTAAGCAGTTTTGACAGCTGGCTATGTTCTAGTGAACCCAAAAGTATTAATCATGGTAACTAAGTAGTAAGCGCATAAAAAAGGATACAATATGTAGTTAAACGGCCATGCGTTCATTTTATATAGTTTATAAAATTTTAGAAGATAATTGGCAAGCGTTACGTTATTTAAAGTTATCAACTCAGCTGATTTTTCATAGCGTAATAATTTTTGAAATATAAGTTGCAACATATGTTTTACAAATTTTATAATAGTGCTATCATCATAACGTTCCATATTTGTAAATTATACTAATTTAATAACTTAACCGCTTGAACATAACCTGTTTATAAATGAGGCCTTATTCATTGTTTAAATTTGTAAAGAATATTTTAGAAACATATTTATAAAATTACTTGTATTTTGTGAATTTATTCCCATTTCAGAATGTTTAAAAATGTTTAAATCAGCATTGGCTAAATTAATGATACATATAAATTTTATCTGGAGGACAAAACTACTGATTAACATAAAACCCAAACACCAATAATTTAATTTTAATCGTAAAAATATCCTTTTTTTTAGATTTCATATTATAAGAATACAATATTCTTCAAATTTGTTAATTACTATATATAATTAAAAAATTTTTTTAACAAGCCAACAGTATTAAAACATTTCCTCATAAGAAATCTAATATTTTATATAAATGTTTTATAATTAAAGCTTTTTACCTTTTTACGATGCAGAAAATGATTTAATATATTTCTAACAAATGTAGGAATGGTGGCAAAACTATATGCTACTTACGTGCAACTACTTGCTTAAGGTGTTTATTTATCTTTTATTTATAACCTTTACAGAGTTTTGACTAAAATTTTCAACATTGTGGAGTACAAGACATTCGAGCCAGGTTAGTAAGTTTGACATACGAAAGGTTGACAGGCTTCTTTGCGAAAGCGACTCATAAAATAGTTTCTGAGCAGGGTTAGAAATTAATTTTGTAATTAAAAGAGTTCTATGCCAATTGAGGGTATAGTATAGGGTGCTATCATATGAGTAGGTTAAAAGATAAATTTGTTATGAAAAATTCTTTCACAATATTTAAAACACGATAATATTAAAACATTATAAAATTAAAAATACAATTTTATAATTGTCTTCCCAAAAGGAAACCATGAATAAGATATTTTAAAAGCTTATAGGTTAATAGCGAAAAATGACCGTTTGTGGAAGTCACTACTGGACCAAATAGGAAGTTGTTAAAATTTTTGTATTTATTGATCCTTTTTGTTTCTGCTTGTGCTAATGTATTGATATTGATGCTAGAAGGGAATGAAGAGAAGCATGTGTAGTCCTATATTAGTGATTTTCCGAGTGTAATGTACAGAATTTTTATTTAGCTGATCAAATTTTAAAATAAACATGATATTAGATAGATGAGGATGATCTTGTTATGAATGCATTTAATATACAACATGAGGAAATGTAAATAAATAACTGAGATATGTTAGTTTAAAATCATAATAAACTTATTTTTTCAACACAAATAACCTAGAGTTTTAAAAAATTTATTAATTCAATAGGTAATAAGTTTTATATAAGCATATAAAATATGTTATTTCTAAATTTAAAAATTGCGTATAAGCAACTTGTCATGTATACCTTGGCTTGAAATAAGAGGAGAGAGTTAAATCCCCTTCCACCATGGAAATCATGATTATGTAGAATTCTGTGTATTTAAAATATTTTTAACTGTTATCAAAAAGAAAATTTGGTCACATTTCTTTTAAATTGATAAAACCCACTCTTTAATTATCTATTTCTTATGAATCATCTCAGAATTTCGACTTTTATTTAAAAAGTAAATGATTAAATTCTAAGAATCTACGAATAAACAATATTGTAAGGTACATTCATTTATATAATCAAATTTTCACGTAAAAAAAATTTGAAAACGAGATACTTTAAAGTACATGATTTCTTCTGGGAACAAATGTTTCTTCATTTTATATTTCCAAATGTAAAAGTGAGCATAGATGTTTAATATTACTTTATTAAATAATCCCTTAACTTAACAATTGGGAGTAAAAAAATTAACTATTTTCAATTGTTTTTTTAATTTCATCGTAACAAATCTACATAATTTTGGTATCCCAATTTCTATAGATGCCACAAGTCAAGGGTATCAAAGCTACAGTCGGGAGACATCAATTCTCGTATTTTAAAAATTATAAATAAAAAATTTTTTTTAATGATGACAATAATTTTTTTATAATATATTTATAGAATTTTCTTTATCATAAATGCTTAAAAATTCCTTCTCTTCTCTTCTCTTCTCTTCTCTTCTCTTCTCTTCTCTTCTCTTCTCTTCTCTTCTCTTCTCTTCTCTTCTCTCTCTTCTCTTCTCTTCTCTTCTCTCTCTTCTCTCTCTTCTCTTCTCTTCTCTTCTCTTCTCTTCTCTTCTCTTCTCTTCTCTTCTCTTCTCTTCTCTTCTCTTCTCTTCTCTTTTTGTTCCTTCTAGCTTAATATCAATTTAAGAAATTTTTTCATTTTGCCAATAACTACTAAGGGTTAAAATTTTTAAAAATAATTATAAATATTTTTTCAGGTTTCCATTACATTTAAACTTAAAATGTTTACGAGTTAAGTAAGCATTACATATTGGACTAAAGCTTTAGAAATTAATCCTTTTAAAAGTTTGCCAGCTTCTTGCTCAGGTCTGCGTTTTAATTTGAAATTCAGATTCATATCAAAATTTTTTTAAAATAAAACTAAACTCAAAAATATAATGAGATTTTCACTCTTTTACATTATATCTACTTAAACCGTAACAGGTAATATCTGCGAGGGTCTTGGAATTGTATGAAAAATATTTTGAATTGAGGAAAGAGAAATACTAACTATAAATTCACATGTTTAAACCGAGTCTTGAATATGGAATTTTAAATTGCGATGAATCATAAATTAAGATATTTTTCATTAATTTTTAATAACTTCCCAGCGAATTCGCTCTTGTAAATGCAGGGTTGGACAGGTTTCTTGACAAGAAAAACTGGTTGTTAGCAAGTACTAAGCAAGCATTACATAATGGTGCCTCCAGATATTCAATACTTAGATCATTCGTTCTGGAATAATGCCATTCTTGGCATTTACTATTAATTTTTATTTTAATGATGATTTAACAAGTTTTTAAACTCGGGGTTTCGAACCGAACCGCAAAACCGGAATGAACCGTTAGGGATTCGAATTGTTAAAAATATTTTAACCGGTTTATAACGGTTTTAAAAAAATAATTAATTTTCAATTATTAACCTAAATTTGAAAAAAAATTTTCCTTGGCGGCAACTTAAATCGTGAATTCCTTTCAAATTAAATTTTTTTTTTCATACAATTAAATCGCCTTTATCTACATATCAATAAATTCCGAGTTTATTGTTTTTACTTTATATACTCAATATAATGGAAATTAGGCAAATTACTTAGATATAAGATGCAATCTTAAAACTGTTATCATACAAAATATTTTTGGCTAAATTGATAAGTTTTTTCTTTATCACATTATTTATTAATTAAATTAGTTTTTATAATAATACTTGATTTTAAATTTAGAGAAAAATCGTATAATTAAAAAAAAAATTTTTATAAAAAAAAATCAAATTTACAAAAACCGGGACAAACCGTAAAGAACCGTTATTCGAACTAACCAAAAAGGAAACAAAACTTTCTAAAATTTCAAACTAATAATCGAACCGAACTGATATACCTAAAAGTTCGAAACCCCTGTATAAACCTTAAAAATATATTCATCTTATAATATAATAGGTATAGATGATATCAATTTTTCATATTGAACAAAAAATAATTAGTAGCATAATGCAATTTATGACTTTATTGTAAGATGTAAAGGGTATAAATTATTGTATGACTTTGATTTTATCTGTAAACCGTGAACCTCGCGATAAAAAATCTTCTATTCTTTCTGTCCTTTTTTTTCTACACACACACACATCGTAATTTCGTAAAATTTAAGAATCGGAAAATACTTTCTCTAACAGTTTTAGGATTGGTAATTCATATCGTAATAGTAATAATCGTGATCCGCCCCATCTCTATCCTTCTTAAGTATTCTCATAATCTCGTCGGCGTCTTCGAATTCGTACTTGTAATCCACGTGTCCCCAATTTGATTTCTTCAAAACTTCGGTATCGTAATCATACGCCAGATCGTATTTCACGTAATTGTAATCGAAATCGTAGTATTCCCTGTAATAGAAAATCAGATAGCATTTGGCTAATTCTATCCATAGACTCTTTTCGGTATATTTGGGTTCCGGCGCCGCCTCCGATTTTGAGTCCCTAGATTTAGTCGGTAAAACGTCTAATCGATCTAATATCAGTATGATATCTTTCCTATCAGTGGGAATTAAGGGCTTTATTTTTCGGAATTCATTCTGCTTCCAGGGAATATATATCAGCGGATCAAATTCTAATGCGTTATCCAACAAAATAAGTATACATTATTATTATGTTCGATATTACAAGACTTTTCCAATTCAAAAAAAAAAGGGAAAACCTCCTATCGAAAAGGTAAAAGGTTCTCAAAAAATAAGATGTACCAAGTAGTGATCTGCATCGGGCCTAATTTTTCAAGCCCGGCCCGAAACTTTTTTCAAGAAAATTTACCGGCCGGGCTCGTAATTATTTAAATATAGAAATTAATTTTTATAATTACTTAAAATAAAAAACTTATGTTATATGGCGTCCAGTTTTGTAAATAAATTCAAATATTTTTATTTTACATAAAAAAAATTCAATATAAAAGATAAATTTTATATTTAAAAAAAAATTTCCAAGGCCCGACCCGGCCGGAATTTTATTTAATTTAAAAAAAAAAAATAAAAGGTCGGTGCAGATCTCAAATACCAAGGACTTAAGAAAAGATTCTGCGGAAAAGGATCAATCAAATAAGTCAATGATTCGATTAAGTAAAAGCCAAACGTCTTCTTTTTCGGACCTACGATTTTTTAAACATATTCTTTTGACATTGCTGTATTTAATTTAATTTTAAATGATTAATATATTTCCCACAATTGTAATAAGATAAAGTTTTTTTGAAAAAATGGAAAAAAAAATTGGTTTAATAGAATCGAAGAAAAATTATAAATAAATTAATTTTTTACAAAAACAAAAAAAAAATTAAAGATTATAAAGGGTAAAAGATAAAAAAAAAATTAAATTAAGAAAATTGATAAAAAGTTCAAAAATGAAAATATATATAAAGAGAAATCAATAAAAAAAAAATTTATAAAAGAAAGAAATAAAAGAAAGAAATAAAAGAAATAAAAGAAAGAAAGAAAGAAAGAAAGAAAGAAAGGAAAGAAAGAAAGAAAGAAAGAAAGAAAGAAAGAAAGAAAGAAAGAAAGAAAGAAAGAAAGAAAGAAAGAAAGAAAGTAAAGTAAATATATGTCTATATTAAAATAAGTATATTGAATGGGCCTTTCGTCCCTAGACTTTTCATTTCTGATCTGACCGTTTCCCTTTTCCGATCTGGCCTTTTAACATATTTGATTGACCATTTATGTGATCCTACTTTTTCCTTTTTTGATTGACATTCATTTTTTTTGTTTGACAGTTTTCCTCTTTTGATGGGACCGTTTTCTTTATTTGATTGACCCCTTTTCTTTTTTTCGACAAGATAGTATCTTACTCCTTAACGTTTCCTTCGAAAATTTTCACTTTGAATGGAAAACCAACCCTGGAGGTTCATTTCTATTAAAATAAAGCTTCTCGAGTATTAATATAATTGACATCCAAATTGGCATGATGTCAATTTGGAATGGTTTTTTTATTTTTAAAATTTATACTTTCTTCTTTGAAGTAGATGTAACTTCGATACCCCATGTACGCGATTATAGCGAATAGCGCGATTAATCCTATGACCAACATGGCGGCAGTTTTTGCGTCAAATTTAGCTTCTTTTTTCGTGACCTCTTTTACCACTACACATAATTCACCTAAACAAATTTTTATTATTACAAAATAAATATCAATTTTATTTAGTCATCATTCCCTAATAATCTAATACGAAATATTTTGTCTCTTTAAAGCATTTGAAGTACACTTTATTTGACACTTTTAGAAAAAATAATCATTCTTTCAAATTATATCTAATATTACTTTTCTTTAGAGGAGGTCAACCCCTTTTAAATTTGTTATACTGATATACACAACCGACAATTTTTTTTTATTTAACCCATTGCTTGCTTTTAGATGTAAAAGCAAAATGTTAAGAAAAATTCAATTTTTTAATTTATTTTATATTTTGTCATAAAAACTTGATATTTTTTTTAAAAAAATCCGCTGAAGTTTTCTAATTTATTATTGTGAGGTTGAGGATCAGGGACAATAAAAGTAAAAGCAGCGGCGTTCTTGCTACTCTAACCGATATTATTTCCAAACCTAGATTTTATTTCGCATATCTCTTAAAAATAGGTTTCATAGAAAAGTTTAGTTCACAATGGATTATAAATTATTTATTTATTTATTTCAACTAAATTATCGTATTCATTTCAATGTGATATTTAACGGCATGTTACCCAATAGCGACAAAATTTTAATATATAAAGTTACCAAGAAAAGTAAACTTATATATCAACGCTGCAGAGACCCGACCCTAAGCCCATCCTCGCCCTATTTGTTTAAATATACCCAGGCCGGATCGAATATTTTAAATCGCCATTTTCCCCATTCATTAACTTATCACATTTCCGATTTTTTTTTCTCGACCCTTAGAAAATATTTTCTAGTAATATATCATTCAAATTAATGATTCAACTTACATTCACAATCAAAATTAAAAAGTAACAAAGATGCAATCAATATTTTAAGATGAGGGACTTTCTTTTCTCTGTTCCCAAATAGTGTTGTAAAACGGCTCGATTTGAGCCGATCTTTAAATACGGCTAACCGAATATTTTTTTAGCCCTTGAGATTTTGCTAATAGATGTCCAAACCTTTGTACCCTCTATAAACCAAAATCTTCAGGCTTCGCGTAATATTTTTCTGGAACAAATATTGAGTCAGTTGAGCCATTTAACAACACTAGTCCTAAATTCAGGCAATTACGTATGTTGTCAGTGAAGAGAGCGCAAAATGACAAATTATTTATATAAAAAGACTGAATATTATTACGAGAGGAACCGGAAATAAAGGAATCACCATCGATCACTCTAATTGATAGTGCTCCTTCCTACCCCAGGGGAGAGGGGGGGGTGTAGGGGGAAGGGGAATTTTTTATACGCTTAAAATGATATTTACGAGAACAGGCCAATTTGCTATGGAGGGATCCGCCCCCCCCCTTCTCATTGGTCTATATCAGAAAGAAAAATTAGAAAAATTTAGTAGAATCGTTTGAAAAGATGACTATATTTCAAAATTCTTACAAAAAAAAATCATTTTATATTTTTTAAAAAAAGAGTAAAAATCTAAAATTATTTTTATTTAAAAGATAAGATAATTTTAAAAGTTGTTATATATATATATATTATATTCGCTGAAAAAAAGATCATCCGTAAAATGCCGAATAGGTATATTTTAATTTTTTTTTTAAATCTAGGTCGTGGTAAGAATTTACTCACGCTAACCTAATTTTTTTTTAAAAACCGTGCGGACGGTTAAAAAACCCGGACCAGGCCGGATAAAATTTAAAAAAAACCGTGCGGGCAGTTAAAAAACTTGGATCGGACCAGGCCGAATAAAATTTAAAAAAAATCCGGACTGCCTGGCCGAAATATTTTTTTAAAATCCGGGAAGGGTCTGGCAAATAGCATCTCTGCATGTCTTTAATATATATATCGACTTTATAATTATTATAATATAAATAAAATTTTAATGAGGCTAAATTAAAATAATTAAAGGTTTTAAAAAAGGCCCAAAAGTGTTTATCATTTATTATTAACAAAAAAAAAAACCTTTTGAAACTAAATTAATATTTTCATCTTCTAAAACTATTGTTCCTCCTATGGCATTAGATCGAAAGATAAAATCTTGGACTATAAAATTGGATATATCATAAGTAGCATTGTATTCCATGGATTTAAAATATAACGTGAGTTGTATATCAAGCGTAGTTTCCCTATCAAAGATTAAAAAAGAAATTATATATATATATATTTTATACAATTTAGCAAATTTTGAAAAAATAAAATAAAATTTTATTAACTTGTAAAAGGTTGTACTAGTCACGTAATAATCCGGAATAACGTTGACAAATATATTGTGAATCTTGAATTTAGTATTAGGTTTTTTTTTTCAAAATTTTAGTTTCACCATTTAAAATATCAAAAGAGGGTGGTAAAGCCATTATTTATCACCTCGCATGAAACTCCCCCTATCTCATTCACACCAATTATCCCAGTTATTTGTATAAGATGCTCACCTCAATTAAAATTTGAAATAATTAGCCTGAATTTCTGAAATTTAAACGCGGGTTCTTCATAAATATATGCATTGTGAGCGCAATTTAAAGTAATCGTGTATTAAGTAATAAATAAGAAGGTTGAACACTTAACCTATAACCATTTTATTTTGCCTGATATACTGATATTTCTTAATTAACCATTGAAGATACTATCCTCTACCCCGGCCTATATTTCAATCACCCTTCGATGCCATCTCTTACCTTTTTTTCTAACATCTACAACCCTACTACTTCCTACCTAAATAAAAATGAAAAAAATCCAAAACATAATTAGCAAAAAAAAAATGAATGAAATCTAAACCCAAATTAGAAGGAAAATCTCATTTAGCAAAAAAATAAAAAAAATTATTAAATGTTGAAACGGTTTTATTGTGCATGAAAAGTGAATGAATAAGTTTAAAAAAAAAATACATAAATTATTAAACTAAAATTTAGGAAATAACAAATTAAAGAAAAATTTCTAAATCGTCTCTCATCAAATTGAAATCACTTCCCATTAAAAAAAATAAAATAAGGGCAGGTTAGGGTTCATATCTTACATCAAAATATAGGCAGATCTCTGATTATTCAGCCCATTTAGTGTTGTTAAACTACCTATCTTTAGTCAACTATAAAACAGCGTAGCCATATCTTTATCCAGAAATACTCTAATCAATCTTCAAGTTGAGACTCAACTTAGAAGCTAAATTCAATTTTTTAGTCTAAAAGCTTTACTAAGGCACAATAGAGATGGTCTAGGTAATTTAATAACACTAAACCAATTATCAGATGATTTTTTAAATCGACATCCCATCATTCTTTGATGGGGGTCTATTTGCTAATCGTAAATAATAGGGCTTTGTTAAATGTACAAAGTAACATCCTTACTAATGTTTGTCATTTATTTTTCCAAATAATTAATAAGGTAATAAAGATTTAAAATAACTCGTCTTACTTTCATTCGTTATTTTTTAAATTTTATTAAAATATTCTTAATCATTTTTATTTTATTGTTGTTTTTTAAAGGTTTAGGTTTCATATTTATATTAGTAATTTGCAAGACCTGCCCCCACCCGGGGTCCTAATTTACTCTTGTCTTAGGTGAACCAAATTTTTGAAAATAATTTTTGTTTCGGGCTATTGACAAAAATTTTTTTTTTATAATTTCAGGGCAGGTTATTTTGATCCGGGTTTAATGAAATTTACTCAATGCAGATCTCTATTTTATATAAAGAGCCGGGAACAAATATAAAACCCTTATTTCAAAAAAAAATAATTATGTTAGAAAGTAAGAAAGAAGAGAAGAGAAGAGAAGAGAAGAGAAGAGAAGAGAAGAGAAGAGAGAGAGAAGAGAGAGAAGAGAGAGAAGAGAAGAGAAGAGAAGAGAAGAGAAGAGAAGAGAAGAGAAGAGAAGAGAAGAGAAGAGAAGAGAAGAGAAGAGAAGGGCCTTCCTTCCTCCTTCCTTTTTCATTCGCCTATTTTGACTAGACCATTAAAATGCCAATGATTAAATAAGTGTTTAATATATTTTTTTTATTAAGTCGACGTTTAGGATATTTAGATGTTTAATTGGGTACATTATATTATATAATATTAATTAATTAATTATAAAGTAAATTCAACACACTCAAGCTCAAAAAAAAATAATTTACTATCTAAATCCATTATTAAAATGTCAGCTTATTTCCTAGGAAAGAATAAAAATGTGACATAAACATTTTTAAATTATTTTTATAAAAGTATAATAAGTGCGAAAGTCTCAAAATGCGTGCATGGGGGGGAGGCTCCCTCTGATATTAGGAGAATATTTAGATCCAAAAATTGTATCGATATCAAAAAAATATATATTAAAGCAGTATACAACTATTTATTTTATTTTATTTTACTCTCAATTCGATTTCACGGGTAATAGCGGATTTTTGAATAATATTCAAATCTTTGATCATTTCTATTTCCCTTCTCCAAATTCTTCCTTCGTATACGCAATCGTACATGTTCTTTTCTTATAAAAAATAAATAAATAATTATAATTATATTAAAGTTTAGAAAATAAAATATCACATTCTTTTTAGCAAAGGCCAATTCATAATCGGGTAAAAATAACTTCTATTTCTTATCCATACACCTTTTATAATACATAAAGTGATGCTGAATAACATGCTTATTGTAAATGGAATAACCAGGGGGGTAAATTTATCTAAAAATAAGTATCATGTAACTAAAAATAATTACCGACACTTCTTATTACTAACAATTTACGTGAGCAAACTATGATGGCTTCTAATTGGTCGAAACAAATTTTTCTAAGCCTATGCAAATCCCGCTAAAGTGAAGCTACCGAAGTCAAAACTTGGGGTTACTGTTAAAACTATTTAGATTTTGATTTTAGGATTTTTAAAATTTTGAATCTCTTAGGGCATGCGCATGGATGGGCAATTTTTTTTTAAACAAAAAATATAATTATTTAATACTTTTATTATAGACCTATTTATAAATAATAAGATGATAATGATGTTGCAAAACATCGATCAGATTTATATGTTGCATAATACAACCAGAATATCATTATTTTTCAGAAAAAATTAATAAAACTTATTTCTGGGTTAATTTTCTACTTTCTTTTTTTTTAAAATTTTATTTAAAAGGGTTAGACATTCTATCAGAAAACTCATATTCATGCCAAACAATGTATTATAAGTGAGTGCGCATTGCATTCAATGTAAATGATGGGGGAATTTTTAATCATTCATGTTCTAAATAATAATACTCTTACACTCACTTTTTTTTTATAGTTGATAATTACAGAGTATCGATAATTTAAATATTAGGGAACAACATTATAATTAAAAACGTATATTTCATAATGCGAAAATATCGCCTCCGAAGGCGATAAATTTTTTTAAGGAGGGGTAGGTATAGGTTTGTTTGGGGGGGGGGGATGTTTCCAGTGGACATCATGCCCTGTAGGCCCTGGGAAGATATGGGAAAACATTTTAGTAACCATAACATGATAGGCGAATATATATATATGAATGAGGTGACATTTTTTTAAATCATCTTTATTTACCTTTAAAATTCGTAAAATTTTAAATTCCAATATGATAATAATGCAATAATATAATTTAATTTTAAGATTTCAATTTTTTTACGAGATTGTTATTAATTATTTTTGATTATGAACATTATATTAATTCATATTATAATTTTAACGAGATGTTATTGGTATATGAATTTTCATCTAATTCTAATTAATTTATAAAATTTAATTACTCGTTTATATTTAAATAAACGTTGGCCCGGCGGTCGAACGGCTCGTTTTGAGCCGATTTTTAAAACCGGCTAACTCAGTATTTCATCCAGAAAAATATTACGCAAGCCTGAAGATTTTGCTCATAGAAGGAAACAAAGGTCTAGACATAAATTATCGAAACCTCGAGGCTTAGGCAATATTTTTGAAAAAAAGAAAGAAAGAAAGAAAGAAAGAAAGAAAGAAAGAAAGAAAGAAAGAAAGAAAGAAAGAAAGAAAGAAAGAAAGAAAGAAAGAAAAGAAAGAACTAAAATATTGAGTTAGCCATTTTAAAAAAATTTTTGCTTATAACGAGCAGTTTAACAACACTACTGGCAGGATAATTTACATGTTCGAGATTGGTAGGGCAAATAACCCATTCTTTCGCAAATAAATGTAGGGCTAGACCGATGACGTGAAATCAAGTTAGATGCAAATCTCTAGTATATTTGGACATGTATACTATATTTGTTAAATTGGATGGGTTAAGAAGAAGAAAAAAAGGTATATAGTGCCTAATAGCTCCTTTTATTGACGGGAAGTTAGAAGAATATGTTTGTAAATATATATTTAAAATTTAACCTGGAACGCAGTGGGTTTTTGATTCGGATGAAGAAAAATTATCATCACATCTGCACACCCTTTCATGGCAGACGGCATGGTCTAACATGGTGGTACATTCGAGGGTACTTTCGCATTTCTCTCCTATTATTTTTCCTGAATTTACCATTATTTATAAAATTAAATATTACAGATGTAGTGTTAGGGGCAGGAGGGGACAGTCTTGTTAACTGAACCCAAATCCAAACCCGGAGAAACGAACACGGTTCGGATTTGTTTTTCGAATTTAGTCCAACCGGGTTCGGCGCATATATATATTTTACCTTTATAACAGAAATCTCCATTTTTAAAATAATTGAAATTGCAACGACATTCTCCGGTCACACATTTGTCACTTAGGCATTCGTAATCTTCCAAACATGTGCCAGACAAATTTTTCTCTGAATTTTTATTTTACGGCAAATTTTAATTTGTAAAGAAAAAATAATAGAAGAAGAAATAAGTATGTTAAGTCTAACTAACTAACCCTATTAATTGCCTCTATTAATTTTAAAAAAAAACTTTTTCACACAATTCTTCTATATATATTATAATTTGAATTATATAATGTTCCATAAAATTTATAATGAATGAGAAATATGTGGGGGGTTTTATTTTTGATACTTGGCTCACACTTGGCGATTTTAACGTTCTGATAAAATTTAGGCAAACATACGCATTCCCCCCTAGTGCACTCAGAATTAGGAAATGCTTCTTGACATTGATAGTCGCGCGTACATATTGGACCCAAATATCGAGCTTGATTTTAACAAATTTCATAAAAAATTTTTATATGTTTATAATAACCAAAAAGTTGGATGATCCGCATCGAGTCTAATTTTTCAAACCCGGCCCGGCTCGATTTTAAAATAAAATTTATTTTCCCTAACCCTAACTCTAGACTTAAACGTAATCGAGTTTTTGATCATTCTACTAACCCATAATTATGACGCCTTGTTTATATGGAAATATTTTAAGGTATACTTTGATTTTATTTTTTTTCAAATTTAGGGACCGATCTAGAGTTGAACGAATTTTTTTTTCTTCCAAACCTTTAGTTTTAAAATATATATATCGTTACCGTTAATGCATTCTCCTTCAAACCATTTAAAACCCTTAGAACAATCGCAAAGTTTATAAACACAGTTTTCATTTAGACATTCGGCATCGGTTTTGCATTTCTCCCGGATCGATTTTTCTTAAAAGGTAATAAATACTTTATAGTAATATAGGAGGGGGGTGGGGGGAGTCATAATATATTAGATTACAAACTTTGGGCCAAGTATCCACCGGCCATGTGTTTCGACATATATTTTGAGAGTCGTTTTTTTTTTAAATTTAGAAATCCGATCTTAACGGAAATGCATAGCATGTTTAGGAATACCTATCTCATAAATTGTAGACAAATTTTGCCATTAACCCTTTAATCATTTATAATTTATATATAAAAAATTATGGGAAAACTTATATAAATTATATTAATTTCAAAAGCTCCTAGCAAATACGTACGAACGAAGATTAATAGAGTCGGTATTCCAAGCATGATTCTAGTAAAGTCGGATTCTGAAATTTAATAAGTTCGTAACACATTACCGGAAATACCTATTGACCTTTAACAATGATTTTCGCATTTTTTTTCGATAAATCTATTCTTCATCGCTATATTATATCTTCCATTATCAACAATTAAATTATTTTTAAATATTGTGTTAACATAATGTAGTAATCTCCTATTTAAAATTGAAATAAATTATTTGTTTTTTTTTATAAAAAAAAAATTTTATAAAAGAAAATGGATATAGAACGACGCTATCTATGTATATTCAGCCGAAAAGAAAAATAAAAATTTTTTATATTTCCCAGTAATGTTGTTAAACGGCTCATTTTGAGCTGATTTTTCCGGCTAACTCAATATTTTGGCCAGAAAAATATTGTCTAAGCCTCGAGATTTCGATATTATAGGTATAGACCTTCGTTCCTTCTATGAGCAAAATCTTAAGGCTTGCGAAATATTGTTCTGAATGAAGTAGTTAGCCGTTAATAAAAATGGGCTCAAAACGAGCCGTTTAACAACACTATCTCCCAGTATTAATAGTCGACATCAGATTTAATAGCAATGATTGATTCTTATATTTCCTAATTTTTAAATGTATATATAATTTATTTTAATTATATAAAAAAAAAATATGAGCATAAAAAATAAAAACGGATAGTACACTAAAGAAAAAATAAATATATATGTATATATTAATTCTTTTGCATCCATGTGACTTGTTTTTTGTTCTCTAATATCCCCGTTATAAAATACGGGCGCTACCTTATACATTGGAAATTTTCCAAGGAAGCTCAGAGAACACATAATTGTAAGCAACATAATCGCAAAACAATATTTATCGAGGCTTAAATTTATGTAGCGGGGATCAGGGGCTAGTCGATACAATTTTTGTAAAATTATTATAGGTCCAGGATTACTATCATATCTAAATTAATCGAAAAACAATGGCCAATAACATTATTTATAAACTGACAAATTTCTTTAATATTTTTTTTATCTAGTAGAAGATTTTTGCCTGATAACTCCCAAACCAGGGACCACTAGAATCATATGGTTCAGTAAGTTAGTGAACCTCGTGTAAGATAATTAATATTCTCATATCCTTATTTTGATGCCGCAATGTTTAATTTAAATTTAAAATATTTTATGTTTAAAATTATAAATTTTATATTTTTTTATCCCATTTTATAGGAAAATCCAAATAAAATTTAGCAAAAAAAAAATTTCAAAATCAAGAAAAAAATAGATATCCAAATTGAAATAAGGAAATCCAAGCTAAAAAGAAATAAGAAAGTTCATGCTAAAAAAGTAAATTTAAAGATATAAGAAATCCAAAAGTAAAATTAGCAAATAGGATACCTCCTTCACCCCTTATCCCACATGTCAATTTATTCGTATGACGATACTGTTTTTATAACTAAAATATATTCCCCCTCTCTGCACATGCTCATTAACCCGACCAAGACTATAGCCGATGCCAACACCCCCTACCACCAACCAATAGCTTCCAAATCCGATCCTCTCAAGAGTTTCAATCCTTTTCATTCCTCCTCCCGACCAAATTTAAGCGATTCAAACTCGCTTATGAAAGTTTCTCAAATATCAAAAATAGAAGGCTTTTTGCTAACTTTCATATATTATATAATTTCTAAATCACATTTTAATCCAACCTTAAATCGTGATGCAAAAAAAAATACCTTAATCTTGACTTCAAAAGCATATGAATGTGATGAATTATTAAACATTATTGAGTCAAATCTTATATAAATTGATCAGACGGAGATTTTTAATATAGTAACTTATATTTTATAAATATTATGTTCGAGAACTTTCCAAAATATATTCTTCCTTTTCCTAGGATCTACTCAAATTTTGGTTCCGGACTTTAAAAATTACTTTAAAAGAAAATCGTTTTATAAATATAAATTTTTCTTAAAGTCCACTTATTTTCCCCGATAAAAAATTAGTCAGGTTTGAAATATCACATATTGAATAAATCGTTCGTCTAAAATTGGAGCGCTCCACTTGCGTAAATGTTTAAAATGAGAAAATCAACATTTAAAGTTTAAAATAAAACATAGGAAAAAGTTATCGATCAATTTTGACTATAGTGTTGTTAAACGGCTCGTTTTGAGCAGATTTTTAAAAACGGCTAACTCAATATTTCAGCCAGAAAAATATTACGCAAGTCTGAAGATTTTGCTCATAGAAGGAACAAAGGTTTAGGCATATATCATCGATATCTCGATGCTTAGACAATATTTTATGGCTAAAATATTGAGATAGCCGCGTTTAAAAATCGGCTCAAAACGAGCCGTTTAACGGAATAAATAAGTTATTATCCACTTCTAACTCAAAGCTTTTGAATGTTTAAAAGGAGTAAATCAACATTAAAATTTAAAATAAAATATAGGAAAAAGTTATTGATCAATTTTTGACAATAACTTTGGCAAAAATTAATATTTTTTTTTAAATCTAGTTTTTATTTTCATATATATTGGTAATAAATAAGTTATTTATCCACTTCTAACTCAAAAATTTTTAAAATGTCGAGTGGGAGCACTCCAATTTTAGATCGACGATACTATTCGATACATATATTTATTATTTACCAATTTAATATACCCAATCAATAAAGAAATTATCACTAATTTTAAATATATTTTGGTTATTTACCAGTTTTATTTCTCTTATAAAAAATTTTTATTTTACTTGCTTTAGTCACATTCGAAGAATCCATCTGAGGGTATCGAAAAAAATCGTAATCACCATTGACGAAATTAAGGATAGATACAAATGTTATTTGTATGACAAAACTACTGATAAACATAAAACCTATGTACCATAATTTGATTTCGAGCGTGAAAAAAATATCTTATTTTATATATAAAATTTCATGTTATTAATTATAAATTAAGAATACAATATTCTTCACTATTTGTTTAATATAACTATACAAATATTATTTTATAATTTCACATTATTATCCAATCCTTTATGAGTAAAAATAATTTTGAAATTTGCAACTTTTAAGACCCCATGAGACTTTATTATCTTCAATTTTAGCATTTGTATTTAGTAAAAAAAATTTAAAACTAATTATAATAAGGAAAGGTACTCTTAACATAGTTTTTCCTCCGCCTTTGGAATCTCCTAAGCATTTTTTTTAAATTTACGTCACGATTCTATAAAAAAAAAACTGGAACTTACATGTTCCAGAAGATTCTGGAAATAGTTCAGAACTTTACATTTGCTAATGTATAAAATAATACATCAGAATACTAAAAAAAAGCGCATGCCCAATATTCTTTATTTTTTTTTAAAAAAATGCAAGTATATCGTACAATATGAAACTCCGGTCAATATAATAATATAATAATTATATATTTTTTTTTGATTATCAATTTTCTTTGTATAAAACAAAGGGAGGATCCCCTTTGTTTCTGATTCTTCCTGTTCCTGGATAATCGTCGGGTGGGATGCCCAATTCTTCATCAGTCCACTTAGCAGGATCGGGATAATAATAATGACCCTAAAAAAATAAATTTTAAAAAATATTAATTAATTTTATTCGGCACTTAAAAAAATGTAAAAAATAAGACATTTCCTTGTGTGCTCTAAGCGAGAGACTAGCCGAAAATTATTTCGAACCAACTTTGCAGATTTAGGTTTTAAGCTAGATGCTTGCTATTGTCAAGAGTCGCGTATATGTTGAAATGTTATGTTTTTTATTTAAACATTATGTTTTTTTAAACGGTTTATGTTTTTTTAAAATATTTTTCTATGTTTTATTAATCTTTTGTTATATTGTAAATATTTAAAATTGCTATATTAATTAATATTTGGTAAGTCTCATTTATTCGACACTTTTAAATGAAAATATCAATAAGGCTTCAAAATTGTCTAATTCGAAGGCAGCTAGAATTAAATTAATGGTTTATACCTATGAACAGTAAATAGTATGAGACGTATAGGCATCGTAACCCAATATAAGATTGGCTAATAAAAATCAATTTATAATATTTTTTTATAAGATTTCATTTACTAAATTTCAGACTTGTTATAAAAGATACTACAGATACACCCGTCTATATATAGATATATTTTTACAAATCTAGATACAGATACAATTTGTATTATACTTATGTAAAATGTACATAATGCTTAATTTCGGATTCTATTGCTAAAATTAAAAATTTCGAAGTGAGTTTTAAAAAAATTTATTTAGCCTATATCTAGTCCATATACAAATATATATATATATAATTAAAATAATGATGGTTAGATTTTAATAATAAAAATATTATCAAAATTTTCATCATTAATGTACTCTTTATGTGTAAACACATTTTTTAGCCACACTAAACTCTTTCTACCGGAGTACTTGACGGCAGAGTGGTTGTTATATTTAATGAATAACAATTTTATATTGGTATAATCTCAATAATATATTGAAATATCGACACTCATTTTTTTTTTTTTAAAAATCATTCAAAATTTGACGAGTGCCAAAACTTATATCAAATCATCTAAGAGGGCGCCCAAAAAAATATTATATAAAATTATTTAATTTCTTTTCAGATTGTCTTTAGAAATATTGATTTAAAAATTATGATATATATATTTTTTTTTTTCTAAATTAATATATAATATAATATTAAATTAACCATGTGTCGTCATCATCAATTGGGTAAAATAAAATTTTACCGGTTTGTTTTTTAAATGAAATAAACTCGGACATAACAACTCTACTTAATTTGATCTTAACAAATTAATATAATGAAAGAAAAAGATTTATATTAATTCTTATCCCAATGTAGTGAAAAATATTCATTAAAATTTTGAATCTGGTATACTTTAATTTTAACTTAATCTTGTATTTCCAATTTTTAATGATTTTCTATATTAAACTCATTTTTTTCTCTTTCTTTTATTACTATATTTTTATAGCTCCCACAAATTTATTCGATTTTTAATTTTAAATTATATTTTTCTATATATTATATTGATAATTTAAAAAATTCTATTTGGGAATAGAAAAATATTCAAAATTTTATATAAGTTATTACCTTGGCATTAAGTATAATTTTAAATATAAAACCAAAACTAAACATTTTTTGTTTTAATTTTTTTTTGGTATTTTGTTAACCCAAATGAAAATTAACATTTCAATAATAATAGTATTACAAGACATTGGAATTTGAATTTAATTGTTTATTAGAAAACTGATTTTCCTAAATAATTCTTAAAGCTATTTGGAATGCATTCACAAATTATATTTAAAAAAATAATTTTATATTGAAGTTGAAGTGAAGTAAATAATTGTTTAATATATTCCCTTTCTGTTAATCTTAATTCAATTATTTACTGTAATTTTTATTTCACCTGAATACACAATTTTATTAAATGTGTCATTCCTATCTAGTTTGATTTTTTAGCATGATAGATAAGAGCGTTTAAGTTATAAAATTAACCACGTTTTAATGTTATTAAGGTCTCACTGGTTATTAAATTTGCGATATATTACGTGTTTAGACGATAGGATAAGCGCAGGAGAAAGTATCGTTTAATGTTTATTTTATTTGTGTACAATATTTTTGTTATAAACAATTAACCATCAGGAAAATTTTTTTCCTCGTTTTAATCGGTTTAAAGCCATATTATAATTATTTTTAAAATTATCCTTAATAGAAAAGGTTAAAAGTTTGTAAAATTTCCTGGTTTTGGGGATTACACCAAACAATTATCAGAACTCATAAAACGAGATAAAATTAAAAATATAAATTGGACAAAATTTAAAATTATTAAATGTTTTATATTAATGGGTCATCTCGTTTGTTTTTGTTAATGTCAGGGTTTGACTTAATTCACAGATTCTAGAATATTCGGGATCATTTTATATGAATATACGTGATATATTGCATAAAAGTGCTTACTATAGTATCCTCCGGGTAATACCAGAGATTGTATAATATGTACCACCAGAAGAAGCCGTTCAAGGCTTTGGCTGAGTAGTGATCAAGAGGATGTGGCACTGGTGGTCTCCTATAATACCATCTGATAAAAAAAATGACAGTGGATATTAATTTTTAACATAAATGTAATTAGGGCACTACTAATTTAGCGAAAATTGTAAAACTTAATGCTACCTAATATTATCATAAATATCTTAATATTATCACAAATATCTTAATATTTAATAAATTTGCTTGTAGATGATATGGATTTTAAAAAAATTTTTAGTAAATATTTGAAAATGAAAATTCTAACTAACAGCATTATATTATATTTCAATTCATCTCTTATCAAATAAAAATTCAAAATAAATTAATTCTTTTTTTTATTAATAAATTATTCATATAAAAATGACAAGCTTCGCAAATGGGTGATTAAAAAAAATATATACATTTTCAACTTGTAAAAATATAATTATTAATATAATCATAGGAAATTTTTTTTTCAAAGTTTATTCCTTTTCCCCCAGTCCTAGTGGTAATCATTGACTGGAATTTATAAAAACTGATCAAAACTACAAGGGCATTCGGACAAGACGTCCTTTCCACTGGATGATTTGGGAAATGCCATAACGTCTTGTATACTGGAACAATTCCTGGCTATGGCAACAATCCTGTCCAAACCTAAGGCTATTCCAGCATGAGGAGGGCATCCACTGGCTAGGGCCTCCAAGAAATACTCCAATTCACCGCTACCATATTTGTCGTCGGGATTAGTTTTAATTATTTTTTTTGTCCTGGAGTTTCCAGTATTTGGCATAACTTCTAAGATACTTTCCAAAACGTGACGCTGCTCGTTGGAGTCATGAATTCGAACAGAGCCCCCTCCTATTTCAACCCCATTGACGACTATATCATAATGTTGGGCTTTTATGCTAAGAATATTTTTGGTCAATAAGGGTGTTTGATACAAAAGGCTTCTGTGCTCTGGAATGGGAGCCGTGAAAGGATGGTGGACTGATTCTAAATTCAAGGAACCAGGATGTTTAATTTTCTTAACTTTGAAGAGAGGAAAATCGATTACCCACAAAAATTTAAAAGAATCATCCATAGGTTTTTTTATTGTATTCGATAACTTTGATAGGTTTGATATCAAAATGTTTCTTATTTTACCGCAGGTCAGTTGGGAAAATGTTTCTTCCTCAGAGATGTAGCATAGGACAACATCATTTGGCACCTCACAGGTTGTAGTCAATGGAGATGCATTCAAATTTTGGCATATTTCCAATTTTGAATAATTTAAATCACCTAGTAATCTATGACTTGAGGATGTATTATTTGGGTCAAAACTATAAATTTGAGACATCATCCATTTTGATGAACTATTATTGGAGGATTTGGTATAGAGGTACAACGAGGAGGGAAATTTATGCTGATCGGAACTATATGTGGAAAACAACTTATCAATTTCTGACCTGAATTGTGACCCCTCATCATTGAAAAGTGTGAGCAACTTTTGACACTCGTCATGCTTTATTTTAATACCATGGGCATATAAATGTTGAGGTGACAACTTGAATTCCTCTGAAGAGATAGAAAAAAATTGTGATATTTCGGATCTTAGGTCTTTTTGATTATTTTTATATGAATTTAAACAATGAGTAACTTCATTGGTGAGCAGAAACGTGTCTTCAAAACGCATGTCAGGTTTATCGGTGCCATAATTTGTCATGGCATGCTCAAAGGTCATTACAGGAAATGGGGTAGAAACTTTTGAAGAGGTGCCATAGATAGAACTATCAAATAATGAGGGCCAAGCTTTTTCTAAAAAATTTTCGACAATAAGCATAACGTTTTTACTATTGGAAAAAGACATTTCAAGATCAATCTGAGTAAATTCTGGTTGACGTTCATGGTGAATACGTTTTTCGTTTCTGAAACATTTAGCTATTTGGTAATATCTATCCATTCCCCCTATCATTAACAATTGCTTCAATAACTGTGGGCTCTGGCACAAGGCATAAAATGATAGTTCACTTATTGTAGGATTGAATGGATTTCCAATCCCTTTTGTATGATCAAGCCCAGAAATAGATAAGTTTGATAAAATTTGGATGAGATCATTTTTTGGCACTAAAAATTCAGAAGCACCCATATCATTTAGTGTTGGTTTAAATAAAGAGGGTGTTTCAACTTCAATAAAATTATGTTCATTTAAAAAATTACGTACTTTGGATAAAAACTCTGCGCGTTTTCTTAGATTATTTTGCATATAAGAAGTACGCAGATATGCATATCGATAACGTAATTTTTCATATTCTGTCATACCTTTTAAGTTATTAATAGGTAAATCTACTAAATGTTCATCTGTATTATTTGCAGATTTTGTATCATAGTGATAATTATGGCAATATTTGATAGAATTTGGATTTGTATTTAAATTCAATATGTTCAATTTGTCAGCTATAATTTCAATTTTTCCAGTAGAAATAAGATTGTTGATTTGGGATGGTGGACGTTTCGTAACAAAGCCTTCAACACTAATAATACTTTCCAATGGTATTATTAAATTTTTAATATCTTTTTTAATGCTATTAAATTTTTGATAATCTTGTAAGTCTGTAAAATTTGTAGAGGAATTTATAACTAATGTATTATCATTTAATAAGACTTGAGTTACTCCATATGTATCTTTAATGATAATAAATTTATTAAAACGTGAGTGTAGAAGCCAACCACAAAGTTTAACTTTTTCTCCAACATTGATTAAATCTAACTCACCACATGTATGAGTTCGCCAATTCAAAAATTTTGTAGTATGTAGGTCTACATTTTCCTTGATAATATTCTTAGTATTGGTTTTGATTGATAAACTTAAAATGTTGAATAGATTTGATGCTGTATTTTTTAAATATCTTTTTCTTTCATAAAAATTACAATATATTTTATAATATATTTATAAGTATAAAAACCGTATATTTTAATAAATAAATATATATAATTACTTATGAACTGCAGAATAATTTCTTATAATATGCTTGTTTGATGCAAATAATGTCTTGTATTTTGTAAACATTTTGAAAATCAGGTGCTGCCAAAAATATAGTGGATCTACTATTTAGCTAAACAGATGTTATCGTCTCATATTTGACATGACGCGTATTATTCTTAAACGGCTCGATTTATAAAGTCTAACCTAATATTTTAGCCAGGAATATTAGGGGAGCCTAAATATTTTGCTCATACAAATTAGAACTGCTTGGATATAACGAAATCTCGAGGCTTGTGCCTTATTTTTTGGCTAAATAGTTTAGCCGTTTTCTAAAATCGAGACTTTTAACAACACTAATCAATCAAAATTTTAGGTTTTTCTTTGATAACATCCCAAATTGAAACCAAAAATAGCTCAACATAAAACTTAGGTCAATATCTTCTACCCTTACTCATAAATTGCGCCATAGGAGTAGCCATGAGGTGGGGGAAAGGGGAAATTACCCCCCCCCCCTTCTGAAATATATCACTTTTCGTAAATATCATTTTAAACTAATAAAAAATACGTTCCTTAGTCTCCTTCCCACTCCATGTCTCTCAAAAATGTATGCATATATCTTTTTAAACAATAATGAAAGAAATAATGAGAGTTAATAATTTTTTAAACTTAAACTATTGACTATAATTTATATTTTTTAAAAAGATTTATATATAAATATATATAAAAAAATTGATACCAAAAATGTATTAAAAAATGAAATATAAGCCACATATAAGTCATAAGACAAAAGTCAATTTTATATAATTACTATTAATATATCTATAAAAATACTAAGTAAAATAATATATAAATATGATTTTTTATAATTTTATATAGTAAATTATTATAATTTATTTTTCTTAGTAAAATTAAAATTTAATCACAAAATTATTTAATTTATAAATTTAATAAGAAATTAACATAACCATATTCCCATTTTTTTTAAATTTCCTTCCAATTTATTTTTAAAATATAATTTGCAATTTTTTGACCTAGCAACAAGCATTATATTTGTTTTAAGATTGATATGGACATCAGAAAATATTTTTAAAGAATGTAAATGAAAAAGGTAATTCTATATTTATTATAATAAAATTTCCTACGAAGATCATCATCGCAAGAAAATTGATTCAATTTTAAGTGAAAATAGGGTATCAGAAATATTATGTAACAATCATGAAAATATATCAAGAAAAAAGGAAATTAGAATAAATTTAACAAGGATTGATGATCGTATATTTTATATTTATAATGAATTTATATATCTTTTTTTAGTGATGTTGCTGGGAGATAATAATTCTCTAAATATAAGAGACCTTGATTCAAGTAAGAACTATTTGAATTATAACATAATTATTATTTAGTTATTATTGATTCTCAAAAAGATGATCAAATATTAGAGATTGTGCTAGAGAATGAGAAAAGTAATCCTATCATCCAGGTAGTCCCAATAGGTATTTTATTTTAATATCATTAAGTAATTTGCATTTTTTTTAAGTTAATGTTGTTGATGAAAGATCTGCAGTAAATCTTATACAGTCAAGAGTTCAAAATATGGATAGTAAAATTTCTATTTTAAAAATATATAAATAGTTTATTTAGGTACTTTACCATTTGACATAAGCAATTATGTTCAATTGGATGTAGCCCCCAAAGACTTTAATATACTAGAGAGTATATATAGGCCACCCAATAATTATAAATTTCCAAGAGATTTTTCTAGAAGGAAATTAAAATTTCAATTTAATTAGCTTACCCCTTGGCCTTGGTTGCCTTACTCACCTTCACAAAATTGGGCTTATTGTAAATATTGTGTTCTATTTGGACCAAAATATGCTGGTAAAGGTGAACAAAAATTAAAGCGACTTGTGAATTGCCCATATAGACGTTGGAAAGATGCAGGAGAGAATTTTGAAAATCATCAAAACAATTTATACCATAAAAATACACAAAATATTATATCATCTCTTGAGAAATTAATGCTAATGATAGAGATTCTATCATTCATATAATAGGTAAACCATTAAAAATTATTATAAGAGACCCATAAAGGTACCAGTTTAATTGGTCAACCTTTTGGGTTTCATATTTTATGGCCATATAATTATTTATTTTTTATAAAGATCAAGGTAAAAAGAAAATAGCAAATGATAATGAAAACAGACGAAAATTATCTCCTATAATAGATTCAATAATTACATGTGGGAATCAATGTATGGCATTAAGAGGTCATCGAGATTCAGGTTGTATATTTAAGGATGATACAAATGAAAATGATGGAAGTTTATTCTTAGAAACCGAGCAATTGGAGATGATGAGTTCAGGATTAACTTGTTAAATGCACCGAAAAATGCTACGTATTTAAGCCCCACCATTCAAAACGAAATCATTGATGTGTGTAATGATTTAATATTAAGAAAGGTAGTTGCTAACATTAACAAGTCTCCATTCTTTTCAGTCTTGGCAGATGAATCAACTGATATATCTGGCATAGAGCAAATGTCCTTGTGTGCTCGATATTTATATTCTGAAAATGGTAAAATTTATATTTATTTTATATAAATTATTATCATTTATATAGATGAAGTTCAAATAACAGAAGACTTTTTGCAATTTATTCCGATTCAAAATATGAGAGGTGAATGTCTTGCTAACACAATTGATGTTCATATTAAAAAATTAAAAATTAATGTTAATTTTATGAGGGGACAAGGATATGATGGTACCCCTGCTATGAGTGGACATTTAAATGGTGTTCAATCACATTTAATAAAAAAATATCCTACCAATTTATGTACATTGTGCATCGCATTCCCTAAATCTAGCCATTTCTGATTGTTGCAAAATTCCCGTTATTCGTAGTACCATGGGTTTATTAACTTTTATTTTAATTATAATCAAATATTTAAAAGGGCAAAATAGGCAAGGTATATGATATGTTCAAGTATCCAAAAAGATCTAATGTCCTTAAAAATATTCTGGCAAAGGTAGAATTTGGCAATAATCATCTAAACTTATTAAAATGTGCCCTACAAGATGGATCCTACGACATGAATCGGTTGCAGTTTTTCTTGAATTAGTTGACCCGATAATTGTTGCATTGGAGGAAATATCTGGATGGACAGATACATCAGTGGTGGCAGAAGCCAATGGAATCTTGAAAGCGATTCAAGATCCTGAGTTTTTATTGGCCATTAATTGCATTAACACTCTCTTCTGCCACACAATATTATTATGCAGAGCCTTGAAAAGAGTGAACCAAGATATGGTTCAGGCATAGATCTTAGCTGAAGATGCATATAATTCTATTTTACAGATAAGAAAAAATGATTGTGAATTTAGAATGATTTTAACAAAGTTCAAAAAAAAATGCAATCTTATAACATGATAGCATTCCAGGAATAGTATTAAGACAAGTACATAGGAATAATATTTCCTTACAATCAGTTGAGGAGTATTACAAAATTATTATTTTTATACCACTTATGGACACTTTTTTAATTCAGATTATAGAACGTTTATTAAACCATAAACTTTTGCTAAGCAACTTTCAAATTTTGTTATCCTCTAATCCATCTGTGAATATTTCGGATGACATTAGAAATAAAATTCAGTATTTATATAATTTTTATTTGCAAGATATGGGAAAGAAGTAATAAGTGAATTTAAATATTAATTTGCCAATTTAAAAACAATGGATATAAAGCCTGATAATGCATTAAATGCACTGAATATTTGTAAACACACACTAATTGAATTTCCGAACATAACAAAATTATTTCAAATTTTAGCATGCCTCCCAATTACGACTTATACAAATGAAAGAACTTTTTCTAATTTAAGAAGACTAAAAACATACTTACGAAATACTACCTCGCAAAATAGATTAAATGGTTTAGCGCTATTAAATATTCATCGGGAATTAACACCAGATAATACTGAAATAATTAATGAATTATCAAATTCTAAAAGAAAGTTAGATATAACATTATAAATTATTACCACGTTTTTGTAGGATCTATCTTATATTACACAAAACATAAATTATTACCACGTTTTTGTATGATCTATCTTATGACATAACATAAATTAATACCACATTTTAGTGTGATCTATCTATATTAACAATAAACTAATAAAAATATATTTCATATTTCTTCCGGGCTTATTATTTGTTATAAAATTTTTTAAATGTATATAAGATTAATAACCCGGCCGAAGGCCCGTCAAAAAGGGGTCTGGGGACGAAGCCCCCACAAATTTTGTAATCCCCCCCCCTTAGGAAATCCTGGCTACGCCTATGAATTGCTCTGTTTTTTATTACGGCTCAAAGATTGGATTGTTTTAATGATTAAAAATAATAACGACATCATTAATTGATGATAATTATGATAAGAAAAATAAATAATAATTAATAAATTTATTAATAATTAGTAAAAATATAAATATAAATAATAGCAAAGAAAATATTTTATATATATCGAAAACTTAATTTATCTTCATTTATATATTTTTTGACTAAAATTTTATATATTATATTAATATATTTTAATGCTTTGTTAATCCTATTGAGTAATTGCTTGACATTGGCATGAGTTATATCCTAATTATATCGTTATAATTTCTAAGGAAAATATGATATAGAAAAATTTAACAGTACAATACTTTATGTTTGAAAAAATAGGTGCAGGATTATAAACCAATAAATTGCCTATATCAAATATACAATTTTCTATTTACATATTCCAGATTTTTTTTACAGGTTCGGTTTTCCCGAATAAAAATGAACTAGAAAAATAGAAAACATGAAATATTTTAAAGGGGGATTCGGAGTATGCATTTGTAGGGGGGGGGGGGTATAATTATTTAGAGTGTTATCTATTACATTTATGTTAAAATTTCAAAATAAACGGTATTTTGGGTTAGAAAACTAAAATATTTTGAGTTTTCTGCGGAAAGGTAGAAGCAATTATATTTATAGGAACACTAAAAATTATATAAAATTTATTATAAATGAATTATACAAATATTTTTGATTATAAGAATATTTCTTAGAACATTCTAAAAAAAATTAATAAATTATGGGATTAAACATTTTTCGTATTT